AAAATTTCCTGATGGTTACTGCTAAATCAATCTATCTATAAATAAAATAATAAAAAATAAAGGGCATTTTGCAATCATAAGAACCAGACATAACACTGGTTATTGATAGGCAAAGACCAACACAAAAAACCAGGGGTCTCTTCCAACAAGTTATTCAGGGATCCAGGTCCTTTGCAATCTTAGGATTCTGTGACCTTTAAAATGTGGGTTTCAAGGTGACTGAGGAAAGGACAAGAGAAGCAGAATCCATATGGGATTATAAACTATTCCTAAAGATGGTACATACTACTTCCTTTGACCAGAACTCAGTCATGTAGCTGCTCTTGACTCTAAGCTGGCCTGGAAAATACATCTTAGTATGACCTCAGAAAGAAGAGAAAATGAGTTTGGGAACAGCTAGCCAGTCTCAAGCACATTCAATTTTTTTAGTCATCAATATGCATTTAAATATTTGTCCCACATGTAGAACAACTTCTCTTCTTCCCCAAAGGAAATAGCTCCAAATATCATTCCAACAAAGCATCCAGCTAAGAGCCCAGGATTTTCTTGTGCTGGGTGGCCTTCTCTCTGAGGTCTGGATATGTCATATTAAAATATATGTTATCCTTCAGAAGACAGGCATAGGAATAATCATAACAATATCATTTGTAGTAGCATATCATTGGAAATAATTTCATGGAAGAAAATAAATAAATTGTGGTATATTCAAAATAGTGAATTAACAATGAATATGAATTAACTTCACCTATATTAAAAATATAGATATTTATACAGACCTAATATGTATGACTTGTAAGCAATTCTAACACCTTTGTGTAACAATATGGATAAATTATACTTTATTAGCAGGTGATATAAGAACTTTCTAGGAAAAACACCCTGTTATATTGTGCACTTTTTGTAAAGTTCACTTTGGGTAGAAACTAATTCTCTAAGCATGAATGTGAATGGAGGTGTCTACACAAAAAAGCAGAGAGAAAGTGTTACTTTAGAGAGCTGAGGTGTGAAGAACCAGAATATGGTTAGCAAAGCAGGCCCAGAAAAGTCATGCATGATGTTGTAGCAGAGTCTTGGACACTCCTCTATATGCTAGGCAGTATCTCTTTTATTACTGACTAGGGGCCCAGGGCACAAATTCATGCACCTTGAAAGGAACTGTGGTGGGCACAGGGGCGGGTCTTTGCCCATCCTCTGTCCCCCAGCCCAGCCCCTCCTGCCATGGCCACTGGTCCCCTGTCTGCTGGCAGCCCTGCTCCCAAGCCGCCACTTCCACGTGCTGACAGCACTGGAGCGATTGGGGCCGGCTGCTCCGGTCACCCCTCAGGAGCACAGGGAGGTGAAGAAGCCCTTAGGGGCAATCAGGGCTGGCAGCCACTGCTCGCACCTGCTGACAGCGCCGAGCAATCAGGACCAGCGCTGGACTCTGGCAGCAGGTATGAGTGTGGCTCCGATGCTGGCAGCAGTGTGAGCAGGGCCATCGCCAGCAGTGGGTGTGAGAGGTGGCTGTCGGCCCCAATCGCCCCCCAGGAGCAGGGGGAGGTAGAGAAGCCCTGAGGGGCTATTGAGGCTAGCAGCCACTGCTCGTACCTGCTGATGGCACCGAGTGATCGGGTTTGGTGCTGGGTGCTGGGTGCTGGCAGCAGGTGCGAGCGCTGGGCAGGACCATGGCACGTGGGAGTAAAGAATTTTTAGTAACCACCAGAGGCTGGCCCCAATGACAGTGACTGGTGCCCTACCTTAGTGTGGCGACCCCGCTCACCTGCTCCACCATCCTGCTGTGGCCAATGCCCACCATGTTCCGTGATCTGCCACCTGCTGTCAATGCCTGCCATGTTCCACGTGTGCCCCCTGGTGGTCAGTGCACATCATAGTGACCAGTTGTTTGGTTGTTCGGTCTATTTGTATATTAGGGTTTTATATATATAGATTCCTGGTAAAGGCTGGATGTCCCAGGAGGAAGATGACAGTAGCCCTGGTGATAGTGAGGACAGCTGGAGAACAGTGGTTATTTGCCAACAAGTATAAAAACATTTCAATATTTGAACAATTATCAGATCCATGTCTACCAGTGGAATATAAGCACTAGGGACTTGATGCTGCAAGAAGTTACAGATGAGAAGATGAAAATAAAGAAGGAAAGAAAACTTTTATTATCTCCCCTTAACAGTTAGCCACATTTATATTCCTTGCAATCAATTTACCATTATAACACCTGGGAATGGGTATGAGATAGTAGGCAGTTAGACAGACATGGGCAGGGTAGGAATGATAGGCCATGTTCAGAAGATCACCAGGGTGCCTAGCAATGAGCAAAACTGGGAAAACAAATATTGTAGGGTGGTACCTTGCTCCCAGGTGACCTTTCCTCCACAAGCATATCTCTGGTCACACAGTTTAGACCCTTGACCTTTCATGTTGCTGATCAAGCAGTTTGGATCCTCCCCTGACCTTTCCTCCCCTGGCATGTGACTAGTCATGTGATAGACCCCCCCTTCTAGGAGGAATAAGGGGGCTGGAGAATAACCTCATATAACTCCCATACAAGCCCTTGCACAACCACTCACTTAAGCATTAAGCCCCCAGGACAATGAGGTCCTGACCGGCATCAAATAATCGTAGGAACAAAGCCTCTGTGTTGACCACAGAGACAGAGTTTTGGTCAAACTACAGATAACATCTAGACCTAAGTTGTGTTTCAGCTTCAGGCCCAGAGAAACACCAAAACAACAAAAAAAGCCATAACGTGGCTGACATTAGGACCAGATAAAATGACAAGTGACTGCTGTTGGACTACAAGGCAATATAATCTTTATCTGCCATTTTATAAGCTTCCACACTACAGGAGAACAAAGGCCAGGAAGACTTGTCAGGCAGGAAATAAAATCATATAAGGAACTAAAACTGCCAGGAAGCACCTGATTGCACACCCACATTCCTGTTGACCCAACCCCCCTGTCCAAACTTACCAGCCAAGTTCCTAAAAACCACTAATAACAAAAGCTTCCCGCCAGTGGTTGCATATAAGGATGAAACTCCAGCTCCTAGTGGCTGCCATCATTGACCTAATATGCCTTAGTTCTGTGCTGTGTAGCCCTTCCCTTTATATATCCTCATCCCCCATCCCCAAGCCCCTTTTCTTTAAATAAATTCAATTTTTCTTTTTTTAAGTATGTTTTTATTGATTTTAGAGGGAAAGGATAGAAGAGGGGTAGAAAGATAGAAATGTCAATGATGAGAATCATTAATTGGCTGCCTCCTGCACACCCCACACTGGGGATTGAGCCTGAAACTTAGGCATGTGTCCTGACCAAGAATCAAACCGTGACCTCCTTCCTGGTTCATAAATTGAAGCTCAACTACTGAGCCACACCAGCTGGGTGGACTTTAACCTTTCAACCCCCTACCCGAGCATCAACCAATCAATAAAGACCACAACCCTGAAAAAACACAACTGGAAAGCTGATGACTATTCTTTGTTTCTTTCCCTGAGAACTCCCCTAAAACCCCTGCCTTTGGACATATAAAACCTCTTAAGATGAAGGACCCAGCTTTCCCTCTCTTTCTCTCAGGCCCATGCCTTCTCCCCTCCTTCCCTGAAGCCTTGAACCTTTGCTTTCTTTCTCCGAAGCTCCAAGGGCCCTTCTTTAGCCTCTGTAACTTGTTTCCCGAGTCCACACATCCCAGCTGGCTCACTTCCTCTAAGATTCACTTCTTCTACCTTTGTGACTTGCTAAGTAAACTTTCACTTGTATTTGAGTTCTTGAATCTGAATTCTTTCTTATCCAAACTCAAGGTCAGAGGTCTAACTTCGCCAATAACATCTGGTGTTGTTTGCCGTTAACAGGTACAGTGTCTTCCACATAAGGAGGGAGAAGATTATGATATACAGATGGATCCCATCCAGGAAAGAGTAAAAATAGACAATCCAATCCCCTCTGGCTTCAGAAAAATATAAAAAGAAATTATACCAAAAAAAAAGACAGAGAGCTCTCTGTCTCATGAACTTATCTTTAGAGCTTCCAGCATAGGAAGAGAAGACATGGGCAAGATGGATTGATGAGTTACTCAGTAGCAAAGTGTTTTTACTCCCACTTCAACATTTAAGAAGAAATTCCAGTAAGGCAATTTTAGAGGCTAAAATAATATTCATATTTTTCCTCCTATCTTCTGAGTTCTTCTAGCTGGGCTAATAATCAAATTAACAAAAATTAACAGGAGAAAGTCAGTTTTAATGCCTGAGCACGGAAATTCGCATAGTCATGAAAATTCCAAAGACAATGAGGCAACACTGGGTATATAAGACATTTTGAACAAAGAAGAAAGGGAGGCGATGGGATATTAGATTTCAGAAGCGAGAATGGACAATTGACAAGTAGTTGAGGAAGTGGGGGACACAGTAGGAAAATTCTTGCTAGGCGACTCATAAACAATGTGTAACAGGGGGTATCTAGCTAATAGGATTGGAGCCTTCCTGACCAATGCTTGGGTCAAAATTATTAAAGTGAATAAGCTAACGCTCCCTTCCTAAAGCAGGTGTTTCTGCATAAATCTCTTGGGCAAGAGAGGGAAGAGGGTCAAGGGTTCTTTCTGAGTATTTTTGCTTAATAAATAGCTTAAAATCATATCCCAAAAGGGCAGCTTCAGGATGGCAAAACTTTGTTTCCCTTTCCTATTCTTGTACCAACCTGGGGGCAACTATAATCAGAGCAAGAAAATGGCCACATGCACTGGTTAGGCCAGAGATGGCGAACCTATGACAGGTGTGTCAGAGGTGACACATGAACTCATTCTTTTGGTTGATTTTTCTTTGTTAAATGGCACTTAAATATATAAAATAAATATCAAAAATGTAAATCTTTGTTTTACTATGATTGCAAATATCAAAAAATTTCTCTATGTGACACGGCACCAGAGTTAAGTTAGGGTTTTTCAAAATGCTGACACGCCGAACTCAAAAGGTTCGCCATCACTGGGTTAGGCAAAGGAAGAAATTGACATAGATTTCTCCACGAATCTTAGCTTCCATGTCAGTCTCAGCAAGCACGAGACTCAGAATTTTCCATATGCACTTGGGAGTGTAGGGAGGGACACACTGAAGTTAGCTGAGAGTCTGACTGTGATATTGCCAGAAAAGGTGGTCCTTGTAGGAGTAATGTTGCTGTAATTCATTAGTTAACAATAATAGAAAAGAAGCAAGGGGAGAAGCCAGACATTATAGGCATGTCCTTTGGGCAGCTTCACCAGGAAGGTGAAATTCCACACTCCCCAGGGAACCATCGCCCATTCTTTGTAGGTCTTTGGGGGTAGAGGGTCCAAGAAAGGGGAGATAAAAGCATGTACAATGAAGTTGGGGTGGCATAGGGAAGATACTTGTCTGTCAGTCAAAGTTGGAAACAGAGATCATTGGCCAGAGTAGGCAGGGCCACCGCAAGCCTGTGAAAATTGGAGGATACATAAAAGAGTTCACTTTCTTGGCTTTTGGCTCTCTTGGATTCACCTGTGTGGCCCATAACCATGTGGACCCCATACACAATGGACTAATGGACTGCAGCTGGGAACACAAACTAATGTGTAAACTGATACTGGATTGGACTATGCCCTAACATGGAACAACAACTGCACACAGGCTCTGATCTTAGCCCTGTTAAAGGCAAAATGGGACTTCTGCCTTAATGGAGCAAAGGGAAATGGGACTGATACGGGAGTTTTGGACTGGAACACGCGGTGTTCCCCTGGGCAGGATGGTTCCCCGGATTCTTTGTCCGTCGGAGTTGAAGAATGAATCCATGGATGGAAGATGGTATAGCAAAGGTGGGAATTTATTGAAGAACAAGTATAGACTCCCACACGGGGAACAGGAAATAATCTTACAGCACAGACTCCCACGTGGGGAGGGGGAAAGAGTCCCACCGAGTTCCTTTTTTCCTGGTATATAAAGGCTGCAGTTCCTGTGTCCTGATATCCCTTCTGATTGGTCAATATTCCCTTTGATTTGGTCACTATAGAAACTCCTGAGCTCAAAGGTTAAATATCACATGGGACACATGATGCCCTCCTCCATCATTGTTCTCCTATTCTCTCTGGGCTTTCTTCCTCCTTATTTATTTTGTAAATATAGACCTTGTGGCTACTCCCAGTTCCCTTGTCTTATGGAAGTGTAACTTCTCCCAGTCTCCCTTGTCTTATGGAAATGTAGCTGCACCTGGCTCCCTTGTGTTATGGAAATGTAACCTCTCCCAGCTCTGTAACCCTGTGCGTTTTCTTCATGGACCCCCAATTCTAAAAATTCCCTACACCTGCCTATTTCACCCCTAAAAATTCCTATTTCAGGACCTTGGAAACTCAGGGATTTTAATTCTATGCAAATAAAAATTGCTCATTCTCCCCTGCAAGTCTCAGAAAAAATTTCTCTTGGGATGTTGCAAGAAGCCCGCTCCCACTAGCAACCAGTAAAGACGAGAACCTCTCCCCACTGGTA